GCAATCCAATTATACGAGAGCGCTACAGCACCTCTGCCCAGGGGTTAATGTGTGGCTGAAGAACGACGGCTGGAATGTTCAGCTACCCGATTTGGAGACTCAGCCACACGGCCCCCGGAAGACGGCCCCCGTAGTAAAGTGGTTCGGCCCGTATATCAATTGCCAGGAACAAAGTCGCTAGTGTCACCTGAGTTTGCTTCCATAGCATATACCAACATGTCTCCCTGGTAAGTGCATCCACAGAAATTCCCTAGTGTATATGTATAAGGCGCTTCAAGCGCGATTGAAAGTAGCCTTACTTCTCCAGCAAGTTCCCTGCTGACGGTATGACAGCGAATGTTCGAAGTGCTCCTGCTCCGGCAATTGCAATAGCTGCTCTTGCACCAGCTGCGGTGTGAGGAATACACCTCGGGAAAACTCTTTGAATCCACTGCTGACTGGCATTTCTCAGCACTGAATGGTGGTATCTTCCTCCGATCTGATACAGGCCGCATCCGGGGGAGGGGAGCACGTTCTTGCTCATTTGGAGTTCTCATTTGAAGTCTCAGCGCAATTGTAAACATGAGTGCCAATTTGTCGATGCGTAGCGCTGTTGCTGCCGCGAGTATGGGAAGACTTTTTACTTGAGCCGTCTGACTACTGTAGAGTGTCGCAAACCACTGTGTATATGCGGTGCTCGCTGTTGATTCCACGGCGTGCTGCACTCAAGTACCATACAATACTTTCCTGCCTAAGAGCTTGCCTCTCGACTTCCTTGAGCAGCCGGAACGGGATCGCGGTGTCGAGTTGCCCAGGGTGTTCAGAGCCAAGCTCGTCTCCTTGACGGATTCAACTCCTACTCCCTACCGAACAGGACAGTACCTGTGCCGAGGAAGCCGTACTTGGCTACACATCGCTTCCATGAACCGGACCAGTGAAGACGCTCCGGACCTGTACACGCAGACTCCCCGAGCGTCTCGATATCATCAAGGCATCGACGTAGTATAAGTTACAGCCTTGCTTTCCTTGTGAGGCTTTTTTTTGAGGTAATTACATCTTCAACTGCCCTTTGCCCCATCAAGTCCTGAGACAATTCGCATCATGATGGACTTTTGGCGTTTTGCGCTCCTCAGCGCTCTACACTTCAGTACAGCTCGCTGTAGCCTTTTGAGTGACGCAGGCTACAAAACGGAATGTTTCGCCCCTTACGATGAGTGATATAATCCGAACCGGACAGCTGGCACCAATGCGACATCACGGTGCGCAGAAAATTCATCATATCGCAAGGCTGTTGCAGCTTGCTTTGCGTGCATGAACGAGAAGAACGGATGGCGATACTTTACAAAATGGAGGAATCTGGGCCAATGGGAACTTACGGCTTTAGGGATGTGCAACTAGCCGGCTCCAAGCAGCAAGCTGGCGAGGAATGCCACGGTAGATAATGGGGTCAAACTCATTGTCCGGATGTGTATTACAGGCTCCTTAAAGCTACTTTAGCATCGCCTAGTGTATATACTGCAGCAATGGGCAAATCTCCATACCAGTCGCATACTTAGTACTTAATCCGTGGTGCAAACCAGAAGTCTAGGTCACCCGCTTACTGTGCTGGTTTATCTTGACAAGAGAAGACACGATGTTATCTAGGACTGCCCTTCTGATTGCTTTCACCACACAGGTCCACAGTTCCATTACTCGCGCCCGTAGACAAGAGGAAGCTATCACCGTTACACCGCATGAACAGTATTCTTCCTCCATCGGCGCACTGGGATGCAAGCTGAACACCAACCGCGTGGCCTACTGGCCGGAGCAGATTACCTGTGATAACATTTGTGTCAAAGTCAGCAACGCCGAGCGCAGCGTCCATCTGCTGCGCGTGGATCAGTCAGGTGGTGCTCATGACGTATCTTACGACGCATGGAACTATCTTGTCTTCGGTACTGGTGCGGCTCAAGATCCTCATGAAGGAGGTGGTATTGCCATGGCGTATGAGCAGGTCCATCCGGACGAGTGTAAATCCTTGCTTCATGATGGTAAGCTGGTATTGTCTGCCGCAAACAGCATGAATTATCTCGGGTCGTGCCTCGGGGGCAAGAATTGGGTCGCGGAGAACCACAAGCTTGTCAACTTATTGGACCCTGGCTGTCGATACGGCTGGGATGAGCTATGCACACTGGATCTGAGCAAGAGCAACCAGCCCGCATGTCCACACACGCTCGGCGATCTGCATACCCCCACGGGACAGAAGGTCACAAATATACGCTATCGAACTGGCGAGAACTACGTTGTTCAGTGAGGCAGGCGCAAGGCAGCTTTGTGAACGTCCTGAGTTCCCCTTGTTTCACAAGAGGGACGGGTCACTGACAAAAATACGCCGGAAGCGAAGTGCATCATTGGCAGTAACATGGGACTATGTACTGTACTTAGATTCTTATGCCTACCAATCCTATTATGTCTTGTAGCTGCCGTATCGCGGAAGAACCAGAAGCTTAGAGTGAACCGTCATAAGTTTGAACAATAATTTGATCAACCAGAGCTACTTGCTGGCAAGGTAGGGCGGCGAACCAGCTGCACTGCGACCAACAAACCGCCCCTGGTCCGGCCTTACGTGAAATGGAACAAGCGAGAGGTTTAAAAGATTAGCGAATTCCTGGCTTGGCCTCACAGTGGTGTGTAGCCAAACCCAATGGTTTCCATGGGGCAATGGTCACCGCTGCCGACTTGACGAAGACTGGCTCTTCTGCATCCGAGTAGCTTGCCCACCGTCAGAACATCTGCGCACGTGCTCCAGCGTCAAATCTTGACAAAAATAATAACAATACTTGAATCGACTGATATGCGTCCGGTATCTCAATTGTGAAGTTCCGGACAGTGGCGGATAGGGGCTGTGGGTACGGCTTCGCATCAGCTCACATCAAAGTTCAAAGTCAAAGTTCAAAGTTTCCCGCTTTTGGACTGTACCGTACTGGCACGCGAACGACTACTACACAACATCAATTCAGTTGAAGGCAACGTCGAAGATGCTCCAGATTGTTGAACCAGCGCCCGATCTCTAATGCCATTCATCCTGGGGGATAAAGGCTCTGCATCCCTTGGTTAGCTCTTCAACGTCTTGAGCTCAGGTCCAGCAACTGCGCTGCGTATGTACAATCAAAACAGCATTACAGGGCTCACCACTTAGCACGGCGTCCATTTGTCACATAAAGTAGCATGTTTGCCAGTTGCTGGTACCGGAACTGCCGTTTCGTCTGGGTCAAGCCACGATTGTCTTTTAACTGTTATGGCATATTGCCAATAGCGGGGCTGGCCGGTGCGCTATTGTATCCTTCATTTTCCCTGTCTTCGAGAGGTGTCCGACATACGGGACACGTGCAGCATTCTTTCAGCCACGGGTAGATGCAATCATAATGAAACAGATGCTTGCAAAGCAGAGCCACAACCGTGTCCCCTACCTTGGTCTCATCAAGACAGACGGGACACTCGGTCGCTTTTTCGCCAGTTTGTTTCACAATGCGCCGGCTGAGGGCTTGAAGAGCCTTCTGAGACGCTGGCGGGTGGGCCGTAGTACTTGACTCCGACTGGAAAAGCCGAGTTATAAGTCCATTTAATTCATGAACTGTTCGAGACAAGCCCATTGCGTATTCCGGATTTCGTACAGCCATACCGGCATTATTTTCAGGTCGTCTCGTCGCCAGATTATTTCGAGAAAACATGCTAGTGAAAATGGATCAGCTGGGTCAATTCTTAGCTGTGCGACTCAAATTTGAAACCCACGACTGAAGCAGGCTGACGTTGTCCGCAGCGATGATTAGGCTGTCATTGGTCACCCAGAGAAGAGGTGCGTCGCCACCAACGATAGCTTCCCTAGCTTGGCCTACCCGAGGCTGACCAGCTGCAGCCAGTGTCTCTTGATTGGCAAAGATGTCGTCAGTATTAGCATAATCCACGTTTCAACTCAAAGGCCGTGATGAGTTCGTGTGGGAACCTTCTCCAATGCCGAACCCTCCCAGAGCTTGATCGTACGAGATGTGTGTGTCGCTGGACCTTGTGGGCGACATTTGGTCAAATCCGTGAGCGTCACTGTCGCAGCTGGCCTACAACGATGAGACATGTGCGTTTTAGTTCGGTTTTCTTTCCATATGCCGATACGTACATCTTCCACCGCCTCGTCCTGGCAGCCTGGACATGGTTCATCATGATCACCATAATACCACTCACGGCTGCAGTCGTGACAATAGACAACATCCGGCCCGAAGTCGGCAGTCAAGCCTCCGCCATGCTGGCAATGTGAGAGCATACTGACTTGGAGGTAGGTTCAAGTTTTGAATGGAGGAGACGGCAGCGAAATTGTCAAGGGTAAACTGAAAGTGACGGGTTCGTGAAAATTGAGACTAGAATTTAGCTCGAGTAAAGCCTGTGGGCGGCTGAAATATCCCACATCCTATGCCGCATCAAGTTGCCAGACGTTAGTCCTCAACAGCTGCATGTACATCAGGCACTGCTGTGGCACGGTCCGAAGACCCCGTATCCGCCGCGCTACCGGCAAACAGTACCCTTGTAAGTTGCCAGCGGAGAACCGCACCACGGTTCCGTCGAAAGTGGTGTTCGGTCGAGCAGTGTGAGGCCGTCAGCCGATTCTGGATGACCGTCAATGTTGGCCAAGCTGTCTGGAGTCAAAATCTCACGACACCATCTTTCACGACACCATATTCTCACGACACCATCTTCATAGCACACCATCTTCTCAGGACACAATCTTCTCAGGACACCATCTTCTCAGGACACCCTCTTTCACGACACCATCTTCACACCACACCATCTTCACACCACACCATCTTCTCACGACACCATCTTCATAGCACACCATCTTCTCAGGACACCATCTTCTCAGGACACCATCTTCTCAGGACACCATCGTCACACCACACCATCTTCTCAGGACACCATCTTTCACGTCACCATCTTCACACCACACCATCTTCTCACGACACCATCTTTCTCAATACACCATCTTCTCGCGTCACCATCTTCTGGACAGTACAGTACTGTACGGTACTGGACATCCCTTCATGGCACATTGTCCCAGTCCACGCGGCCAGATCCAGCCTCGCTATCTGCTTTCGCGGAAGACGCCCAGGAACTCCGCTATTGCATTCCACCAGGTACTGTAGCTGCCCTGGAGGATATGCTGCACTTCAATCTGGCCACGAGAACCTAGAAACTATGGCTGCGTCCTATTCAATCGCCTTCGGTAGTGTGCCGGCAGCCCACATTTGAGGAGAAACAGCGCGCAGAGATAGACCGACTGCCAGCCAACGCAGGTTAGCCCCAGAGCAGAAGAGAAGCATCCGTAGGACGCGGACCGGTTTGCGGCGTTCGATGCCCGTGAGTCCTCGTCGAGAAGCAGCATGAGGTTGGCCTGGCCACAACGACTTGACCCCACCATACCCGTACCGCAGCCTTCCTTGTCGATACGCTACGAGGCGTGCCATCGCCGCCCCATTTACTCGCAAAAGCAGACGCAATGAAAGACGGGTGCCACGGATCGGTTTCTCTTCCGATTGAGCTCACGCCCCACAGGGTCAAGCAGTCTTCCAGTGCAGGTCAATGCTGACGCTTGTCATCTTGTCACTGTAGAAGGAAGCTGCTCGCAGGACGGCGTGGCGTTTGTAAGACCATGAGAGGAGATGGACTCGTCATTCTCTGAAAAGTGGTGGAAGCAAACTTTGATGTCGGGAATGAGACGAGTTCAAAGTTCAGTGAACTGGCTGCGCACTCACTAGGGGCATCATGGACTTACTGTGCAGGACGGAGGGCATCAAGCAGTTTAGCCCAGCGGCGGGGTTACGCCTTGCGGTCGAGTGAATGTTGTGATGGCGTGGTGACTCACCAGCGCGGCTGGTTACGATCGCGAGAACAATGCTGGCAGGTTCCAAACGGGCAATCGCCGAGCCGCACGGCACGGGGAAACGGGGAAACACCGACAGGAAGTGGGCAATCGAAGTATTGGCGTTATCACCTTGACGGTGAGGCTTGCCCCTGCCAAAAACTTGCAACAAACTCGCCGCCACCCACAGAGTCCTTCCCTGATGGTGAAGAGAGCCTAGCGCGTACCCGACGGAACGGTCCGGCCGCCCCATGACGATCAGCTGTGGCGTCACACCAATTCGCAGGGGAAATGCGCGGCTGTCACATGCCTTGCCTGTGACGACTTGTTCACTGGGGCAGGCGGATGTTTCGGTCTGCCGGAGCACGGCCCAGTCCAAAACCGGCAGCCGATAACCCCCAGCAGATGCCCCGTCAAGCGCGTTCCACCGTCTAGCGAACAATCCTTGGAGGCATGAAGTCATGCACACCCAAAGTCGCGGGGTACTCGTTATGCACATGACGTCGCGTCGATGTGACTGACGACGTCGGGGCCAATGCAGCCGATTCGCCCTCCACAGTTTTTGTTGTGGAGGTGCTCGTCCCGCCTGCTGCAGAATCTTGGGTCGTGGGGAGTCACTAGTGCAGTCGTTTTCGCTAGTCAACGCGAGGCATTCTGTGCGGTGCGACCACAGCCTCAACACCTGAGGTCCTAGTGCCACACCCCCACTTCTCCCGTGGCTAGCCTGCTAGCCAATGACGAGTAGCAAAGGAAAGCGGAGCCAACGGCTTAGCGCCTTGCTAGCCGCCGTGTCCCCATCGGATCACGCTTTTGGGTGGGATTTGGAGCCAGCCTCCAGTAACAAACAGCTGGCCCTGGCGTGATTCGTACATTGGCGCGAGATGCTACGAGTGTCCATAAATGTGTCACAGCTTTGAGCGAAACTGGTTTACTGTACTCCCCATACTCTCTCTTCTGTAGTATTTTAGGAGCTCGGTCATCACCAACACCGGCAAAAGTGGGTCGATTCTTGCCAAAAAAAAAGTCTGTGCAGGAGGACGGCGGTTCCGCTCACAGCAGTAACGCAGCATGTAATGTTGCCTGATGCCGCCCAGAACTCAACCATTCGCCCACGGAGCAAATCGGCCTGCCTGGCATCGAAGTCAGTCAGATGAAATGGAACATGCAGGTTCATGCAAGACCGAAGAGGCGTGGTCGGCGCCAGAGTTGGATGAGTAAATCCCCCTTCCTGACCTTTGATTCCCGTTTCTAACGGTGCGAGGCTGTCGCAACAATGTTATCCAATTTTCTGCCTGTCCCCAGGCTGCAACGTGCAACCTTTCTGGTGTAGCGATGCTCTTGCTTACCACTACAAGGAATTTCATCCCAAGAGTGACGCAATTTGCAGCGCGCAGCCGTTCGAAGCTCCGGAGCATCACGGCGGGGAGCTTCATCCTGAGGGCAGTGCGTTTCCCGACAACGTGCTACCAGTCAAAGCTACGGAGCATCACTACAAGAAAGCTGGTGATGTTTTCATTTGCGACTACGCAAACTGTCAACGCCCCGGTCCCTTCAAACGACTAACACGTCTCCGCGACCACCTACGTGGAGTACATGGAGAGACGATCGAGAGACGACGTCGAAACTCGATCGTAAACTGCCCAGGATATCTTCGATGCTATACTTGCCTTGGAAAAACCCCGATCGGCACGCAAGGAGAACGATGTTATGGCTGCCAGCGTCCGCAAGTTGACGAGCGCCAACCGCACTCAGGCGCTCGGCTGATGAAGTATGGAAACGGTGTCGCGATCCTGGATGATCCAAAGTTGTGTCGATCTGGCTAGCCATATCAGCTGCTCATATATTTCCATGCTGTGAGCCATTGCGATACACAGTTTTATTAAACCTTTCAAATTTCGGTCGCCCGGCAATGTAAAAACACAAGTACGTCTTAGGACACCGCACAGTGTCAGGAGAGACGCGACCCCTGACGTTGGAGGTGTGCTCCAAGCTGCATCTTCACCTGCTCTAACTCTTCCATCATGCCCGACCCCTTCTGTTGCAGCTGGTCAACTATTCGAACGATGTCCTCCCACCCTGGTTGGGAACTTCCGGTCTCAACGCGTCCAGCTACAGAAGCCCGCTCCCGGACACCTTCGACGCTTGTCTCGCTAGGTTGCGGTTGGCCGGCCGACGGATCATTCTGAAAGTGATGCTGGACCACAAATTCAACCTCTGGGTGGCTGACTGGCCGTCCATCTATACTCGGAAGGGAACGAGGGCTCTGTTGAGCTGCGGCCTGGATTGCTGGTGCCTGCTCCGACCGCGGTGTGTATCCATACGTAGTTGCACAGTTGCCACCGCAACGGCACAGTCCCGGGGCCTGTAAAGTCCGAATACCGTGATCCGCGTGCTGCCCACCATCATCATACTTTGCAGGCTGAGCAGGGGATTGACCCATGGCATGAAGGTCGGAAATATCAGATTGCGCTTTCGCGGTGATGCCGCCTTGAGGAAGAGTAGTTGAACGAACTGTGGGCTGGTATGCCTGCAGTACTTGGTTGTTCATTGGGTATTGGCTACCGTAGCTCAATGCAGGCCCGGCAGGATGATACGCGGGTGGCGCTGGGTTGCTGTAATAAAGAGGGAATTCTGTCGCAGCCCAGCTACCACTTTGGGACCCAACGGAATGGAGATGCATTTGCCACGTAGGTGGATGGGGTTCTGCGCTGGAAGCTTGGGCAGGCTGGATGATAGGTCGCGAGTTCCCACTACTGTCCATAATGGGCGTTCCACGTTCTGCAACGAGTAGATGCAGTTCCACGAAACCCAGATGGGTGCAGCAGGCGAGTTTAAGTAGTTGAGAGACCCGGCTGCAAGCCCATGCCTCAGCTGTTCAACTACAGCCAGGGCACACCTGGCAAGAGGAAATGGCAAGGGCACAATCATCGTCGAGAAGGCAGGATTTCGTTGGTAGCAAACCAACAGAAATGGTGGCGTCCCTGACAGTGTCCAATGGTTTCGAAGCGGTGTTGCGAGGAAAGAGGCCGATGTATCACACCACGTCGCCCGCCACTACACCATCTTGAAACGTAATGTGCAGTAATTAATACGGCCAATGGTCCCTGTACTCGAGGAACTGCCGCCACAAACTTAGGCGTGGCAGAGTGGCAGCCAGATGGCGCAGTGCAGACAGGAACGCCAACGGAAGCGGGCGACAGGGAATTATTTTTCCAGGTTTCCCGAGAGCTAATTCCTCGTCGCGCCAACAGTGCCCTAGGTGCTGCCTGGAAGACGGAGGCAGCCTGGTCCTCATGATTTGGAATTGTGTCCGATCCATGGCGGAAAAAGGCTGGATTGGTTGGTATCGAGAGACAACTAGCGGCAGAGACGCGACGTTCCACGTGGGCCGCGGCAGCATGAACGAATCGCATCGCGTTTGCGGGCGCTTAGACAGTGAACCATGCGTACCGCTACCTGCCTTGACGAGTTAGCTGTACTGCTGTGGAGGCTTGGCGCCAGACAGAACAGTTTCCCTCGGACGGGACACCACTCAATCATTCCCTGTCTCGATGTCCAGGATCAACAAAAGAGACGTGAAGGGTGGCCGAATGATTAAAGGAATCATTGATGGGAAGAGCAGAGTGCGGGCAGGCCGGACATGCAAGTAGACAAGAAGACCAAAAACGGGCAACGGGTGACCGTGCACACATGATTTTCAGCCATTTCTTCACGTCCTGTGCATGCCCACGCGGCTGGTGCACACCACCTAGGCAGGGCGAATGGCTGCGAGACATACTCCACTTCGCAACCATTGTAGAGGCGGGGGCCGGCTGCTGAAGCTGCCGGGTTACCCCGGCAAAGAACGTCCACGCCACGCATCCCGATGTTGGCACTGGCCGCGACGCCTCTGTGACACTGATGCCAAAAGGGCATCCAGCATGTGGGTGAGTGGTCAGGGTTGAGTTAAGAGCCGCCGTCTCGAGCCAGCGGACCCAGGACCTGCAAAGGCGGCTACCCCTACGACTTTAGCGCTACACAAGATGCCCTTTGCGTGAGTCGCTAGTCCCTGCTATCAGACCTAACGTTTGTCGGACAGCTTTGGGGCCTGCGTTGGATGTGCCTTGGACAGGAGCGCGCAGCGAACAGACGCAGTGGTGTCTGACGTGGGTGGGAGCGGTTCCCTGATGTGTTCTGGTCAAGTAAACTGGTCTCGTCGCTCGGGCGAAAAGGTACGAGACTGTGGTGCTCGGCCATTACCCGATTCATGGGGCGGCAAAGGACGGCCCTACTAGGGGGTCGGATTTAGCGCATTCTCAGCCGATCCACAAGCGCCGGTAGTTATTCGCGAGACAGGGGAGACAGAGTACCTCCCGTCATTCAGGGATGGATGGCGCTCCCTCATATGTTTACCATGCTCACCCGTCTCGCGCCGTCTCTGTTGGTTTCGGGGGGGACAAGCAGGATTGTAGGTATTGAAGGACCCTACAATTGGTCTCTGGCGCCTCTCGCCCTGCTGGTCAGTGGACAAACGCGCATCGTCGAACTGCCGCCCACGCCTCGCTGCCTTGCGTCCGATCGCGCCCCACCCATAACGGCTCCCCGTCTTCTCTCACGAGTGTGCGCGCCCCGATTGTGCCGAGCCGCTCCGCGGTCTAGGAATCGTCAGGGCCGGTTGGAAGCATATGCACCTCGCTTAACCCCCGATCTGTCACCTCCTGAGGCATTTGCCACGTGCTAGGCGACGCACCCTCGCCCTGCCACAAAGGCGGGCGGCTTGGCGGATGCTTGCCGAGGGTGGTCTTAACGCAACCTCGTATGGGCTCTGGGCCTCTGAGTATTCGCGGGATGGTGGTTGGTACTACCTTGCAAAAAACCTCGCCAGCAATCCAGCCAACAAGTCGCCGAATTGTCTCCGGATCAATCAGAACGCGCACCACGCTGATGCCGTGGTTGCAAGATGGGCTTGTGCAATCTCGCGTCGCGAGGTTCGGACGCCGTTGCTCCGAACTTGCCGGCGCCGACGCTTGACCCTAGAAGGCAGCGTGGACCACCTCGCGGCCGGACTGGCAAAGGAGTCAGCACGAAAGGGGATAAAAGTCTGCACATCATTCACACCACGGCTCGGGTGCATTCCTCGGCAGCTAAACCGTGTACTTGACAGCAGCCCTGCGCAAACCCCGTCCCCCCCATTTCCAAAACTTGTCAGCCCTGAGAGGGCGCAATGTGGTGCGGACAGGACAAGTGCTCGACTAGCGCCCAACACCAAGCTCAACGTCGTCTAGCGTATCCCGACGGAACGGGCCGGCCGTCCCCGCCCACACGATAGCCTAAGCGCCCGCACAAGTGCAGCAGGAACGCCATTGGGCAAGGGCGTGACGAGAAGTTTTTGCCTGCAGGGGGTTACGAGTCGGGTGAGGGAGGCTGCACTACTTCGCGCCAGCGGCCCCTCCGACGAGGGCAGGGCATCAAGCGTCCAGGCAGTAGGCTGAGTGTGCCACGCGGGCTTTCTTTGCGGAGGTGTCCAGATGCATTGTGACGAGCAGAGATTCGAAGCCGTAGTGGACGTTATCCAGAACTCATCGTCGTCAGCAATACTTCGCAGGGCGGTGCACATGACGTCGGGATGGCGTGACTTACGATGCGGGGGCAATGCAATCCTTCCCTGGACCAGATTATGTATTGTACATCGATGGCAGACTTGGCGTTGTGGTGCCTTCGGTGCCTCACCTGGGGTGACCATCGCAGCCGGTCACAGCCCCGATCACTTCAGTGCTGCGCGCCGCCTCCTGTCGACCCGCGATCATCTTCTGCGCAATGACATGGGTGCTGCTTGCAAGGGGGGAACAACGCGAAGGACGGGGAAATGGTGCACGTAACTGCGGCATCAGGCTGATGCTCGTGCTGTACTGTACCTTAGTTCGTGCCTGCATCTATTTCCGTGCAAGACCAGGCCTCGACCGAAGGCCCTCATGACGAAGGGCTGTGCTTTCGCTTGCATGTCTGCGGGTGAAGCGTGAACGCAACACTACTGTGCCGCCCTTGGGGGTGGCTGGCACGGTGGCGCGCACACTTCTCGGGGGGGAAGGGGACAGGGGCCGGGGAGAGGTGCCGGGGAGAGGTGCCGGGGAGAGGGGCCATTTGCTGCGCTGCCGCTCCTGGCTTCGCAAACGTGAGCCGCATGTTACGGCACCGTCGGGGATAGGCACCCGGCCGCCGATCCGAACGCTGTGGGTAGACGCATGTCACACCCTTCACCCAACCGCGGCGTCCGTTAGGGAACACGCCTGCGTTGTTGAGTTCGAGTTGCTGAGCGTAATCCTACACTCTGTGAAGCTGGCATCAGGCGAGTTATTCAGGCTCAGAACACAGGACACTGCATCTTGTACTGCCTTCGATTCAAAAGTGTTGCTGCCTCTTCGAACAGTCTCATGCGACACATTTGGATCTAAGTCTTTGACATAAAGTCGACTCTGTTGCCACCGCATTCGACCATTCCCTGTCATTCCGAGATGCAGGACGCATCCGCATCCGGCGAGAGCCATGCCAGCGTCGGTTACGATGGGTGGACATGATCCGCTGCTACGACGATATTCGGCGATCCGCCACATGCAGCGCGCGGCAGTGGTTGGAGCTTGTGGGATCGCAAGCAATTGGCTTTACTGTACTAAGATGTTCCTCTTCTAAACTTGGGGTTCTTTTTTGGAAGAATTTTGAGGAAGTCGAGAGTTTGACGTAGCGTTGGGCACAAAATGTGTTAGTCGTCTAGATCACTTACGAGTAACCTGACCATACTGCACTGCGGAGACAAAATCTACTGTCCTCTGTTATCCAACTACTAGACATGTCCCACAGGATTGAGTTCAACGTCGCTTCCACGTGTCGAGGGGACCTCGAAACACCGGTCATTTAATGCAGAGCAGTCTTTGTGTCCCATGCTGTGGCTCCTGTCATAGCTTATCCCTCCGCTGGAACTCAGTCTCTGCGGCCAGCCAGCTTTGTCATGGCGGCCAGACAGGACACGACTGTCGGAGGCCTCGTGGCTGTTGGATGGACGAACCCTCTTTGTCCACATATGCTGTAATAGAATGCGCATCGTTGGGAGGCAAGTACACAGTATACCGGTGGAGACCTCGATGACGGACCACATGAATCCAGTAGAGTAGAACCACGTAACATCCTTTTCGTCGAGGACTAGCATCGAAGTGACAAGTCTTGTAAGTGCCGCAGCACAATCACTGACAGGTCCTCTGTGTCAGCGCTATGAAGTAACCGAGGCCGCACCCCAAGCACTCACAATAGTCCCAGAAGAAAGATTAGACATAGCGCGATTTTCTGCGACGTCGGCAGCTGTATAGACCACACACTTGGCATGGGCATCAGCCAAACTGCAAAGTCAGTAGTGATGTTGACGATGGCGTATCCAATGCCGAACTTTTTGAAATCCAAGCACGATCCTTTGCGTGTCCAGAAGGCGCTGACTGGTGTGCAGTTGAAGATGCTGATGAATGTGGACGTTATACCCCACAGGGCGACCAGCAGAGCCATCATGTGTACCACCAGATGAAAGCGACGAGACGGGAATATACGTTTGTACAGGAATAAGAGCGACAGCTTAACAGTTGGCGGTGCGACGACGTAACAGAGTTGGAAGTAATACAAAAGATAGTAGAACTGGGATAACTGGGCTTCGGAGACGACTGCTCGATGCTTTCCGAGTCCGTTCTGCCTACCTGAAATATCTTATAGTGAGCATTCGTGAGCATTCGCTTAAAAGGCGGCCTCTGGGGAACTCACAGGCCACGAATATTCCGAATAGTGCCCAAACCCAGATCTATTCGGGTTTAGTAGTTTCTCCTTGCGACGGCGTGGTGCTTCGATGGCTCATTACCAAAGCGAGCAAGATGAACCAGTCATCGGCGGCCAAAGGCGCAGCCTTGAGGCGTCTTGCTGAGAACCGTCCAAGGACAGTTAAGAAAGCAAGTATGGCAAAAGTGGTAATGCAGGCCCACAGCGTCAGCCCTCGATCCTCGGAGACTTCCGCGACTGTACTGGCCAGCATGATGTTCGATCGCCGCGTTGATATCGTAGCTAAAAAAATTGAAATAATTTGGGGGATGGAAGGGGAAGGCCAAGTCAGATGAAGAGAAGCAAGATAGAGTAGTGATGAATCATTTAAAGACTGGCGACGCGTGTTGACCATCCAACCCGCAATCACCGGACTCGAGAAGCCAACCTGCTCGTTGTGTGGCCAACCACCAACACCCGCCACATTAGATGGCAGATACAACCTGTTGGTCCGGCCGCTCGCCCACGTTTCTGTAATTGTGTTGGGTCGCACATCCCAAACCCCTGCCCCCATACTGAATGGGGTGAGGACGTTGCATTGCGCCGTGCCACTGCACCCCAGCAAGTTTCCCACGGCTGGTGTGATGACTCCCCTCCTCTTGGCGTCGGACCCCCTCTTCTTGTGGCGAGAGGAGATTAAAGGGTGTAGGGGAGGCGCCCCGGCTTGCTCACAATGGACAACTCACCAACTACACTATACGCACCCTCTCACGCAAAATGACTGAAGCAGAAGCGCCCACCTGGCAGACTCAGGCATTGAACATTTGCGCAATTCGTGATGCTTCCATGGCTACGATCAAAGCTCAATTGCCCGACCCGTCAGGCAACAATCACTTAGCCAGGGTTATCGGCGTTCCACGTCTGCGGCTTAGTGAAAGAGACGTCCATATCACTGAGAGTGCTGTGGAGGACCTTGTGAGGCAGCTTGCAGCCGGCGAAGTGACGGCTAAAGAGGCTGCTTTGGCCTTTCTCCGACGCGCTGTTATTGCGCATGAGCTGGTGAGACAGAATAATACGTCACAGACTTTACAGAGCATTTGAGTTGACTGACCATGAATAGACAAATTGCATATACGAGCTTCTGCCTGACCGTGCCCTGGGTCGGGCACAAGAGCTTGACGACTACTTGGCCAAACATGGGAAGCCCATCGGGCCACTCCATGGACTGCCAATCAGTGTGAAAGAGCACATTAGTGTTGCCGGATGTGAAAATACCGCCGGATTCGTTGGCTGGACAGGAAGAAAAAAGGATGAAGATGCGAGCATCGTCAAGATAGTTCTGGACGCCGGCGCAGTCCCATTTGCCCGAACCACTGAGCCGCAAGGGCTGGTAAGCAGTGCACCCTTCACTAATCTATATTGGGATGCTAATGTTACCGGCCATGGTATTGATAGATGGCAATCGAGACGCAAAGCAACATCACTGGTGCTACTGTGAACCCTCATAATCGCGCTCTCACATGTGGGGGCTCGTCTGGTGGAGAGGCAGCGTTGCTGGCACTGCGCGGGAGCCCACTTGGGATAGGGTCAGATATTGGTTAGCACAGCACGCGACACGGCCCAAAATCAGAGACCTAACAAGATCCTAGGTGGCAGCATTCGTTTGCCCGCAGCTCATTGTGGGCTTTACGGATTCAAGCCATCGTCAGGTCGGCTTCCATTGATGGGACTCGAGGCTTACTGCATAGGTTCCGATACAATCGCACCGAGCATCGGTCCCCTATCTCCTTCCCTTGGAGGCATCAAACTATTCATGGACACTGTGTTGATGTCAGAACCCTGGCACAACGACCCTTCCCTCCTTCCTGTACCATGGGCAAGTCAGGCGGGCCACATCCACCAACAGGAAAAGTTGCCTTTGGTTGTGGGGGTCATGTGGACGGATGGCATCGTCCAGCCTGCCCCTCCCATAAAAAGAGCGCTTTTGGAGGTTGTGGACAAGCTCAAGTCTACGCCAGATGTCCAGGTTATAGACTGGCAGCCATTCAAGCAGAATGAGGCACTGGAGATTCTTGTAAGTCGCACCACGTTTTGTTCTGTCACTGCAAGCTCGCTGAACCACAGTATCTCTACTCCAGAAGCGATTGTACAGCCCAGATGGGGGTAGAGCGTTCATGGAAAACCTTGCTTTGTCCGGCGAACCAATCTTGCCCCTCCCCGCTTGGACCATTCGCGACCAGCCTGGAATCGAGGCACTCGACATCAAAGGTCTCTGGTATTGGACTAGAAAACGCGACCAGTTTCGCTACTCATATTTAAAAGGTACTGCAAGACTTGCACGCCGATTAGCCCTAGATTGTTGACAATCTCGCAGAGTGGAATACAGCGGCGCCGAATATGGATGTCATTCTCTGCCCTGTGTACCCCATGCCCGCACCAGTTCATGGAACGTCACGGTATTGGGGATATACATCTCTATGGAACCTCTTGGATTACCCAGCCATTACCTTTCCTGTCACCAGGGTTGACCGTGAGAAGGATGGCCAGGCTCCTGGTTACATTCCCCAAAATGACTCCGACAGGTGGTGCTATGACAGCTATAATGTTCAGAAACAGAAGGACGCGCCGGTTTCGCTACAGTTGGTGGCGCGGAAGTCAAAAGATGCGGAGCTTCTACAAGCAGCAGAGAAGATCCAGCAGGAGATTGGGTTGCCTTTCGTGGATTGCCTGGCCTAGGCCACGGCAGTGGCTATCTGAGATAACGAGTTGAAGGAAGATGGCCACACAGTATCAGTGCAGTGTCCTAGATTCGACGACCAACTCAGGGTGAGTTTGTCAATGACTTCCGTAAGACGGCCTCGAGGAGTGGCACCCTCTTGGTGCGGTGAACTGCAGATCGTTTTATCGTGGCATAGAGCGGGTGTACGAGACTTGAGGAAGCGAGACGCGATGCGGGCGAACCAATGATGGGTAGGAACGTGGTCTGTCGCAGTACAGTGTATGGTATCTGGAGTCTAGATCGCGCATTTCCTAGCTAAGTATGAACCGTCAGTTAGGCCTCGGCCAAATGCCATACGTTAAAAGTCAGGGCGAATGGCAAGCTTAACACTTCAATCGGCAGCTTGGTCGGGTTTCTACGTGCAATATTGCGCCGGGCTTTAAAGAATCGATGAAGGGCAAATTCGGACGGCGCTTTGTTCAGAATGTGACGGTATCGGACAGATCGCAATGTCTTGAAGCAAGACGATACGAACAACGAGTGTTGGTGGTAGATGCTCCCGTGACTGGCCAATTACTTACTGTTGAACGTTGCTTCTTCGCGGACTGACAGTGAAGTACAGTGCAGGTGGGCAACGGAGAAGGTGAGAGAACAAACTGGACAGAGAGGGCCTGGGGCGTCGGTCCTAGACCCTTCCGTGGCCGTTTCTACCCAATTCTCATGTGACGCAAGTTTCGGCTCCTCGACACACTGCAGCGACTTCTACGATGGAGGATGGACGGCCAAGTTGCGGATTGACTCTCCCGCCGACTCAGAAGAGCCATTGTCGGCGCTCAGACGAGGCTGTCAGCGTGCAGGCAAGCGTCAACATGGATGTCCAGTGCGATGGTGTGGAGAACCGCGGGGTGAAGGTTGATGGTGTGAAGCAAAGAAGCTGGTGGTGGGCTGAATGACAGGGGACACGAACCCTTGTCTGCACCCATGTGCCCACCCTGGTTTTACCCCTGGTCCTGGGCAATGTGCAACAAGTCGGCGTTCACGGCGATCCAGAAGCGGCTGCAATCCTTCTTTGCCTCCTTCGCATTCCTCTGCCCCCATTCGCATCCCGTGTTTCACACCACTTGCCCTGCGAGATTCACACCACTTGTCCTGCAAGCCTACATGCTTCACACCATTCATCCTGCAAGCCTCACACCACTCGACGTGGAAGCCGATTTTGTTCCACACCACTCGTCCTGCAAGCCTTCATGCTTCACACCACTCATCCTGCAAGCCTGCAGGCTTCACACCACACGTCCTGCGAGCTTCACACCACACATCATGCAAGCCTAAATGCTTCACACCACATGTCCTGCGAGCTTCACACCACACATCCTGCAAGCCTGCAGGCTTCACACCACACGTCCTGGAAGCCGATTTTGCTTCACACCACATGTCCTGCAAGGCTACATGCTTCACACCACTCGTCCTGCGAGCTTTACACCACACGTCCTGCAAGCATACATGCTTCACACCATTCGTCCTGCGAGTTTCACACCACACATCCTCCAAGCCTGCATGCTTCACACCACTCGTACTGCAAGCCAACTTTGCTTCATATCGCACGTCCTGTAAGCCGATTCTGCTTCACACCCCGCGTCTCGCAACCACTCATGCTTCACACCACATGTCCTGCGAGCTTCACACCACACATCCTGCAAGCCTGCAGGCTTCACACCACACGTCCCGCGAGATTCACACCATACGTCCTACAAGCCTGCATCCTCGGAACCACACGTCCTGGGAGCCGATTTGGCTGCACACCACACGTCTTGCAAGCCGACTTTGCCCCACACCACCCAGGCTGTAAGGGCTGTGTGACAGACAGAGGGATCCAGAAATCACTCCGGTTCTCGTGTTCGCTGCCCAGTTCCCGAAACTCTCTGCAAGCTTCATCCCACTCAGTTCGAATCACAGAGTTACTACTGTACTGATGGCGTGTGTGTGTGTGTGTGTTTATTTAACGTCTTGCGGGTATTCCCTATCGGGACAAAAGACGTGCTGAGCTAGGCACTATTTACTGCATCCTCTCCTAACTTAGGCCACCGGCTGTAGACTTAATCGGTCCCTTGGGATTCTCCATCAATCCGCTTTGCGCCGGGCCGTGCTACCAGGACGCGGCTCCTCACATTGGCCCGAAGACCGCCATAAATAGCGTCCCATCCAGCATAGGCTTCGGCTCTTTGGCGCTAAAATGCGAGGCCCTTACCCGTCAGCGGGATCCAGGCGCTGCCCGCCCTCGCAGCCTCTGTGAGCGATGACCGTCTTTACATCGCTCGGGACCACGAGTGCAAGGCGAGGTCAACCCTCGGTTTTGCTAGCCAGAATTCTCTTGCGCCCCGGCCGACACCGCTGCCGCGGTCTGCACCCCAGGAACCAGGTGGCAGAAACGGCCCAGGCGTAGCGGGAGGGAAAAACCTTTGGAAGGGAACAGAGGCCGCGAGCGGCTTGCCTTCAAGGAGAAAAACCGACCGCAGCTAGCTGCTGGGAACCGCACGCGCCTTGGTTCTGAAGGTACGTGCGGTCAAGCAGGACCACGCCTTCGTGCGATTGAAGATGAACTCTCCTAAGGTCTTCAATCGTGCCTCCCTCCGAGGAGTTAGGGTCCCGGTAGGACCCCAGAGGCGAAAGCGTGGCGGGTGGCCTGCAAAAATTACCCCGCACAATCAAGTTGCTAACAGCTCAAAACGGCGAAGAATTTTTACAGGGGAGAGTTGTACTGTACTGATGGCGTGCATGAGGCCTGAGCGGGAACTCCCTTACCCTGCACAGACGCTTTTCACCCGTGTCGATGAGCAGCTAACCGGTGAGGCACAAGCCAGGCTTCGGCTTCACTACTCTGCGACTACCGCCCGCAACGTGAAAGCACGATGGGATGTACGCAGTTCCAGCGTCGCCTACCGGTACAGTAGTGCCCATCTCGATAACATGCGGGAAGACGACGTCGGAGTGCATCATAGCCTGCGAACCGTTGGGGCCCATCGAATAACAAAGGACCCCAGGTCGCACGCAAAGCTCAATTGTCAGCGCCAAGTAGGCGAGCCGTGTACGTCGAACAAAAACCGCCGACAGCGACGAAGACCGAGCATGAAGTGGAGTCAATCAATACCCTACGAGATTAGATACATGTTTTTGTGGGGCTTCGTAGCGACGTAATAAGCAAGGGATTCGTCCCCAGGCACTTGGGTAGACGGAGTGGTGGCATCTCCGTCCACAGATGGGACGTGGAAGGCCGGCCATGAATGCGACCGCCATTGTTCACATCGTCCATGGCCATGCACATTACCGCCCAGTCGTCCGCCATCCGGCGTTTGTCGCAAACCGTGACAAGATCTTTCCCCACGTCATACTATGGGATAACAACCCTGCATGCCAGACAAGTGCCTCCTTGTATAGAATGTCATGTACGTGGGTCACGAAGAAATTGCACAGGATACGTTGTCGACGAACATGGCTTGAACTACCTGTCAGTACCTGGCCGTCCAATGCCTCGGGATCCGCAGAGATTCGCAAACGTCTGTTTCATACGAGGGCGTCGATTTGCCAGTCTGTCCAGGTATGTGCCGGCGGGAGGGAACCGTGCAGCCTTATACGGGCCAGCCGGGGTGTTGCAAGGCAGCGCATCCAAAGTTGAATTCGTCGCGGTGCTGAATGACGGTCATAGAGTGAGTCCCTCTGTCAGCACGGGCCCCTCACTGTGAGGTGCAGCGGGATAGTCACAGTGAGCGGCGCAACGGCAGAGAGACGTGAGACAGCGGTGTAAGACGTCGCATCCTTGTGGAAGGCAGTGCCCATAAACAGGCAACTCAAAGCCCTCAGCACCATGATTTGTCGGAGCATGCAAGCTCTCCAAGAGGTAAGGCAGGCGCTGGCCTGTCCGCCCAGTTCAAGCACGGGCGTCAAAAATGACCTTTCGTAGCGTTGCCTGGTACTGAGCGCTGTCCGCCCATAACGATTCTCATACATTCGCCGAGCCGATGGAGTCTGCGACCCTTAACCTGACCGTGTGTGCGGTGCGTAGCCCTTTGGGGTCTGATTCACCAAAGACATGCTGTAACCGGAGCCATGCTGCCTGCCAAAGGACATGATGGGTTCATCTTGGCCAGCTCTTGGCTGCTGGACGTGAAAGGCAGGCGACTGAGCTCTGTGTGCCGGCTCGTACTGGGTTGCGTAAGTGATTCAACTGGTCTGTCGTGTGGTCTCTAGGATTCGGGAGAGACTTGGGCGGCGACCAAGCCGTCGGCGTCTTAGAGGCTTCGGCCGGCGGTGCTGAGCACTCGGCAGTCGCATGATCAGGCGTACTGGTCCTTTGCGACGGAGGGGTTTGCGGCGGCAGCTCCTGCCGTCTTTCTGCGTAGCGATCTGGGAGTCAGTCACGCGGCGGTACGCGCAATCGAGGTCGAGAGCTGAGGCTATCAGCGGACAAAGCGAGGATGGCAGCAGCGCTGCGTGCCTGGACGTACTGTTAGACTGTGTCGCGCCGTGCGCAGCCCAGGACCAAGCGTGGCGGCGAGACGGCTCACCTGAGATAGGCTGCCAAGGGTAGCTGGTCAGAGCTCGACCCGGCAGGTCGGCTGGCGACCGAATCAGTGCCGTGCGCTGGACTTGATGAGTTTGGGAGGCGAGGTGAACAGCGGCTTGTAATGACGCTCGCCAGATCACCCACCTGGAGAGATGTAAGCGGACACTTCCATAGCAGCACTCCGCGTGGCGTTATCGTTGTTTCGTTTCTAGACGGATTGCTGTCTTGGTGATGATGGCGCAGCGACAAAAGCAGGATAGCGGACAATGCTGGCAACAACGCGGGGTGTCGCGCGTAGACCCTTCCGCGACTGTACGTCTTCACAACTTACCAGGGGTAGGTTCTGGCTCCTGGAGACAAGAAGCGTTGTGCTCCAGGGTGCCAGGGGTAAAGATTAGCGCTCCAGCTTGCAGGATGTGTGGTGTGAAGTTCGCAGGATTAGTGGTGTGAAGCATGTAGGCTTGCAGGACGAGTGGTGTGAAACAAAATCGGCTTCCACGTCGAGTGGTGTGAGGCTTGCAGGATGAATGGTGTGAAGCATGTAGGCTTGCAGGACAAGTGGTGTGAAGCACGGGACGCGAATGGGGGCAGAGGAATGCGGGAGTAGGCAAAGAAGGATTGCAGCCGCTTCTGGATCGCCGCAACGGTGACTTGTTGCACATTGCCCAGGACCAGGGGTAAAACCAGGGTGGGCACATGGGTGCAGACAAGGGTTCGTGTCCCCTGTCATTCAGCCCACCACCAGCTTCTTTGCTTCACACCATCAACCTTCACCCCGCGGTTCTCCACACCATCGCACTGGACATCCATGTTGACGCTTGCCTGCACGCTGACAGCCTCGTCTGAGCGCCGACAATGGCTCTTCTGAGTCGGCGGGAGAGTCAATCCGCAACTTGGCCGTCCATCCTCCATCGTAGAAGTCGCTGCAGTGTGTCGAGGAGCCGAAACTTGCGTCACATGAGAATTGGGTAGAAACGGCCACGGAAGGGTCTAGGACCGACGCCCCAGGCCCTCTCTGTCCAGTTTGTTCTCTCACCTTCTCCGTTGCCCACCTGCACTGTACTTCACTGTCAGTCCGCGAAGAAGCAACGTTCAACAGTAAGTAATTGGCCAGCCACGACAGCATCTACCGCCAACATTCGCCGTTCGTATCTTCCCGCATCAAGTCACGCGATCTATCCGATACCGTCACATTCTGAACAAAGCGCCGTTCGAATTGTGCCTCCCATCGATTCTTTCAACCCCGGTGCAGTATTGCACACAGAACTCTGACCAAGCTGCCGATTGAAGTGTTAAGCTTGTCATTTCCCATGACTTTCAACGTATGGCATTTAGCCGAAGCCTCACTGACGGTTCGTACTTAGCTAGGGAAAGAACCATCCGCAGTCTCCAGATATCCTCACGAGCTTGCCACCAAGATCGTGGAGGGCCGGTCACGGTTGAGCCACTGAGCGACGATTACTTACAAAGGCTACCCAGGGAGAGCTTGCCGCTCCCTTGCCTTCGACTCGTAAGGCAACGACACCTCCACGTCAACGTGCTGTATGCTGCGGCTCGCCGCTGCCCGTTAAAGAAGAGTACGCTGGTCCCATGGACTCAGACGAAGAGCCCGAACTTGCTAGCCGCGCTGCACCGATTCAATATCACCGCATTAGGACCTTGAAGTTCTACTTCCGTATCTTGGTGGACAGGATTCGTTGCTGCGGCTTGCATTCGTCTCTGAGCAGCGACCATTGCAGTCAAAGTTCAGATCAGAGTTCAAAGTTCCAAACTCAACCACGTGACTCCTCGAACGACCAGGGTCCCGCAAGAGATTGCTGGGCTCTTGGTGTGAGCCTTCTCTACGTGATGCGAGTACTACAGTTACCTGAGAAGACGACAGCGGGTGTGGAGGATCGGCCAGGCCCTACATGACGATAGCCAGGCCCAGCTGATGCGAGATTGGCTCGCAAACATCCAAGATCGGCGGAACAAACTCGGTGGTGGCGACATCGAACCCTTTGTGCACGAGCTGCTCAGTCAGGACGCGGAAGAGCGATGCCGCTATCTGCGTCGCCTGGCGAGAACACTTCCCTTGGGCTCGCTCACCTGATGTTTCCGACATTGAATTACTGGGCCAGGTCGACGGGATGTGAGCAGACTCCTCGCGTGCACCGCAGCACAATTTCGGAGGAAGAGTCTACCCTCGTCTCCTCATATTCTCGTCATTCTAATAGTATCTCTACACCGATATGGCCCACGGGCAAATGGCACCTTTACTCGGGTGAAACTGTCATTCAGTTCTGTGCTTTGCAGATGTGTTGTACAGTAGTGGAAGGGCCTCTGGCCTGGGTTGGCCAAACAGCCTCCCCCCATTTCGGCTAGCAGGTGTCTTGACGAGCGAAAAGCTCCGTTGAAGCTGGACGGTCCGGTGTAGCTCTTGTACAGTACACAATAGGGAAACTGCTGGCTTAGGCATTGGCGGCTGCCTAGCAGGCAGCCGTAGCTACACTGGGCTGACCCGCTGAACGACAGTTACACGGCTTGTGGCTGCCTTCTGTGCGACAAGAGCGCAGACCGCAGCTCCTCCAACTCGACGACATCAATTGCACCCATTAAAACAAGGGAATCAACTTCCCATTCGATACTTTGACGAGGCTCCAGCTGGCGCTGTTCTGCTCTCAAGCCAGGGTCTTCGCGCGCAACCGCAAGGAGGAGTCCACCGTCAAATGCGAACGGCCACTGCTCCCAGTCGGATGACGGGAATGCGTCGCCAGACGTGGGCAGCTGATCCAGGCTGGGCTGAGCATCCCAGTCCGCTAGTATCTGATCCAAAAAGTTACCATGGTCATCATTCTGCCCAAAATCGTCGAGGAAGGCAACTTGCCAGAGCTCGGTTGATCCTTCCAGATCCTCTCCGGCATAGTCTTCGATTTGTTCGTGGCTTTGGTGCTCCAAGGCGTAGGCTTCTCTGTCGGGTACCTCCGCCGCACTAAGCTGCAACAAGCGAGCTGCCGCGGCCACGTCTTGGGCATCATGTGGAGGACCTAGGGAAGGTTGACGGCCGAGAAAGGGAATTGCAAACGGCAATTCCTCCAGCATGGTAGCATTGGGAGCACGTGCAGCCAAGGACGATCCATAACCTTGAATTCTGGCAAGCAGTTCGTTGAACTCATGTTGAGCTTCTGGGACGGCCGTCCGAAGGTCATAGCCGTCAACGGCTACTTCGGCCGGCAATTGTACTTCGTCGCCTGAGAATGACGTATCAATGGACGGTGACCCAACCAGATCATGGACAGGCCCAATCGGATTGCGGTTGGCCCGTGCGCCAGCCGGCGGTTGTCTTTGGTTTTGTGTTGACGTATTGGTAGACGTTGGACTGGCTGGATTATGCGCAAAAAGGCTTGCGAGGTAGTCTGTGCTGATACCGCTCGCTGGAATCTCGGAGAGACTAGTGATGGGTCCGAAGTTCTGGGCGAATCCGTGGCCTATGCTGGTTTGAGTCTCAAAGGAGTGGTCGCCGTCGAGAATTGTATACGTATCAGTAGCTGCCTCAGCCCGGGCATGGACATCGTCGGGTTGCGGTGCCGACAGATGAGCCATTTCGTCGGGTCGAACACGTCTTTAGCAGGTGCCAATCCAAACAGTTAGTCTCGTTCTCCCGTTGCGCTCCTTATCTCCAAAGCCTACCTGTCAGACGATCCAGGACGACCGTTGAGGACCGTTCGCTCTGGAATTGGGGAAGCCAGAGCCATTCCGATGCCCTCGTCGGGTTTATTGGACTCCATTTCTCACAATGACGCGATCTCCAGGCTGGAATAGTACGGGGGTTTCGCTTTGATGACTGGTGCGGTGACTTGTAGTGAGATCGAAACTGCACACGAGCCAAGACGGAGGAGATTGGTTGCGATAGGAACAGTAGGCAGAATCCAGAACACAATTTCACGCTGGGTAGGGCGAGGGGCTTATATTGCAATTTGACCCCTTCCCAGGCCAAGGAGTTGACGGTCAATGCCACATCACGCAGTAATCAGTTTAAGGTAGATCAATGTCGATAGACCGGCAGGCTGCATGCCGGCCAGTCCACGCTGCTCATGCGAGCCATCGCAATGATAGCCGTACCCTCTCTAATTAATCGGCCAATCGCAGAACCAACACAGATGTAAATACCTGCTCTTGCCAAGCGATTTTGCAAGCTGCGCACTGCCGCAGGAGAGGCATCAAGAACCGTGAAACCATGAGTCGAGATGTGTCCGGGCTACTCATGCACCCCGGCTTGACCCACGTTAAGGCACCAAGGCCACGGCACGCAAGATTTGATCACTAAAATTGTCTTACAGCGCGTAAATTTCCTCGGCGAGATACAAGCGGAAGCGACCTGTGTCCTTGCACTTGCACTTGCACTTGCACTTGCACTTGCACTTGCACTTGCACTTGCACTTGCACTTGCACTTGCACTTGCACTTGCACTTGCACTTGTGGGGGTGGATCCACCGGTGTGGGCTGGCATGGCTCGGATCGGGTATACTGTAATCCGGTGAGTGGCGTGCGGAGACTGACACGGGGGNGGCAGAGAGCCAGTCGAGGATCCGACTGTGCGCAAACCATTCACGAAATCATGACAGGACAGCTTCTCTTTCGCTGCCCGGTATGCTCGGCTACTTTTGACTCGCAGGATGAGCTTCATGAGCACACGTGGAGATATCAAGTGAGTTATCTGAACTGTATGCGGCAAGCTTGCTGATGAGTAGCATAGAATGAGATAACTGCTGTTCTCGCCAGGCTCAACGACCTTCTCGCGCACCGGGACGAGGTTTTAAATACTACAGAAGCGTCAGGAGATTTTGCTGTCGAACGGAATGACCGCTCAGTCTTTTGTGCCAATGGTAGGAGCCAGGAAACCGGCTTTTTGGATGGTACCGTCGACGACTTGTCTCCGGTTGCGGCATCATCAGCGGCAGAAAAAGTCACGCCAGTGGCGACGGAGACAACCCTCGAATGCACGCACATGGACTGCAGCCAAAGGAGGAGTGTGTACAAAAGACCTCAAGACCTTGTACGCCATTACGCCATACGTAAGTGTAACCATGGTGGACTTTGCGCTACTACTCACATGAATGAAGATGTCGATTGTAACGAATTCTGTACGTTTTGCCAGACCGAGTTTACCAAAGCAAGCAAATATATGAACCACAAATGCATTTCTGGCGGGAGTCACCACCAGCAGGATAAAACGAAAGAGCGTGTTCGGGCGCTACGCAAGCGTACGAAAGCTTTGATGAATCGGTCCGATGCTACAACTAGACGCCGAGAATTGCAACGAAGCGAGACGACAACCAACATCCATCGGTCCATGTCATTGTCGCCGCCTCAACCCTTTTCTAACGAATTAATGAACTTCAACCAGCCTGAGTCAGGCGCTCGAAACGGAGTGCTTTTGCCCGATCAGCAATCGTCACACCTTAAACATCCACTTTTTTGGCCTGCCAATACCAATCCGCAGAGTCCAATCCCAGGGTTACCGACGCCATTATGGGCCACGCCATCCGCGTGCATAGCGCTGCCATCTCAGTTTGTGCCGGACAATGGGCCATTGTACTCGCAACAAGGGGCGGGATTGCCCATATTTGACAGGGAAGTGTTGGTTTCGAGTGGAGAGGCATCGTAACATCATGGTGTTTGGCGCGCCACGTGGCCACTACCAGTACTGGGCGGGAAATCGATATCCATGCCGTACGCAATGGTGAATCCTGCAATCCTCTGGATCAAAAACCGAACATCCAAGAGTGCACTGTGCGCGTTAGCAAACTCTCAAGTCGGTGAGATGGATATGACGGCGAGCGCACATGCCACCTGTTTCCAACTGAACAACTTCTCCGGGCCCTCTTCTTGGGACTTCGAACAGGCCGTTTGAAGCCGGAGCAGCCTTTGATAGATCTTTGTGGGAACCGTAGTACAACTCCAGCTTTGTTCCAGCGCTCCAGACCGATACGACGAGACGGTGCGACTGGTTCGGCTGCGGCCAGAAGCAAAACACACGGCCAGGTTCGGGTCCAAACGTATGACAACGTCGTGGGTTTCTTTGATCGAGGAATGGGGCAAGGATTCGATGCACTTGCTGTTTCGAAGTTAGACCAGCCGCGACAGATCTCCGGTGGCTGCTGCACTGACTGGATTACCAACTATGATGTGCTTGAGATTGTCCCAGCTCTCAAGGCTAGTGGAAAGGCCGAGGTCGTCGATCTGCTGCACTGCTCTTCCTATAACAGCATCTTCTAGGTAAAATATCCCAAACTCCTTAAAATATTCAAGCGCATCGGTCGCCAATGTAGGAGAAGAAGCCATACCAAATGCGCGGCACAGCAAACCGTTGAATCGCGGAGGAGGTGTTCTCCTGGCTGATGGTACGGGCGGGGTAGCGGGGCAAACAAGGCGTGCCGCGGAAACGTTTTCCCGAGAAAAGCATTCATGTGACATTTTGGCGGAGACTCGCCACTGTCCAAGCTTTATTAAGGCCGTTGGTACCCAACGATGCCCGCAATTTACCTGGCAGCGAGCTTGCACGCACTGGAGGTATGTTTGGCTGAAGATGCTCACGCCTTGCTACAATGAGTTGCTGATGCCACAGATTGCCTGAACGTCACGGAACAACGATCAACATGCCCGGCTGCAAGTACTGCACAGACGGCATAACAGCAGAAGGCTGGATTTGCACCAGATGCACGAACAGCGGCGGGGCGTCACAAAGGGCGGCTCAGAGCTTCTACATAACGCAGCCAATCTCGAGTCCAGTCACAGCGGGCTGCTGTGATGACAAATGCGTTCGATGACATTCCGGGATGACAGTCTCGTAAGTCTATCCCAGCGCATCAAGTGATTGGTGGTGTGTGTCGCCCGTGCATGAGATTCAGACTAACACGTGGCAAGTAGGTACGGGCCAGAATGGGCTGGATTTGATAGCTGGGTGCCACGAATGATCAATGCAAGCGCAAGTGCAGGTGCAAGTGTAGGTGCAAGTGCAAGTGCAAGTGCAACTGCAAGTGCAAGTGCAAGTGCAACTGCAAGTGCAAGTGCAAGTGCAACTGCAACTGCGACTGCAACTGCGACTGCATGTGCGGGCGCTGGCGCTGTGTCATAGTCAGAGCTTTCCGGGCAAGGTGCAGGTGCGAGCGCACAGGAGTGTGATTGAACGCACACGGCAATCACGTCCGGTCGCACGTTCGCGTGGCGATGCCGTCAACTATTCTCGGACGCTGACGCGAAATTTTGTCCGCCAAGGTTGAATGGAAGTGAAGCAATCCGGTCACGCCTCTTTTGTGGTCGCACCGTTGGGCGCACAGCTAATCGTCAATCAAACCGGTCTTCTTTCTATAAATTGCAAATACAGCCACAATTTGGCGAAACTGTGCAACACAATGTCTGACCGCCCACACGTGGTACAATATGAGTACTGACTCCGGTGAACCTGGCTTCTGCATCTACTGTGGTCATTTTCTGAGCGCACATACGAAAGAGCGGCATGCCAAATGCAAGAAGTGCAAGAAGCGCATCCTGATATGCCAGGCAGGCTTACATGCGACAGGCGCGGGATGGAAAATATGCCACCTGCCGTGTTGCTGCGGAGAAGGATATTATCCAAGCAACGCCAAAGCGGCTCGCCTATTGCAGCCCACTGAGTATGCCGAGACACATCCTGACTACGAGTCTCCAAGCTATGCGGACGACTACAATACGGGCCACGAACCTATCGCAGAACCCGTTTATAGCGCTGTAAGCGCCTATACCGAACCTGTGTATGTGGACGTGTTCGAAAGCGACGACACGCTCTGGTTCTATGGATGCGATAACGAAGTGATGTGGACCCAGCGTGATGATTGGCGGTCGACGACCAAATGGTACGAAGGAGCAAACCGCCCCTGTTTCCAGTTTGACAACAATTCTACCGGTCTGTCGTATTTCACGTGGAATTTGGGTCCGGGAGACGCCGCGGCAGCTACACAGTCAGCTCCAGTCAAAGAATCTAAGCATGGCAAGACTGCAGCTCGCGGCGGCTCGTCCAGGCGGGGTCACACGCAATCGCACGGACGGACTCTATCCGAAGAGTCTATTGATCCTCTCCAGTGGGACCAGGCGACATTCGAAGCGGAGACCTTGGCCTCACAAATGGCAAGTCTCAGTGTTATCGAAGGAAGCTCCTCGCAGACCACAGACAGACCGAATCAAGCCGCTGAATTTGTGGAGGTGTCAGCCCGACACAGCGGCAAGGGCATGGTGTCTTTCAGACCACACTCGGGCCCTCGAGAGGGCAAGAAGTTGACTTCGCGGAAGGAGAATTGGACCAAAAATCGCGGCGGGTACGTATTTGACAGTGAAGCAGCTGGCTGCGTTTTCTTTGCCAAGGAGATAAAGCCTGCGAAGAAATGAAATGGGGTGGTGGAAAGGACAGTTTTGTACTGCTACTCCCTTCAACAGCGAGTGGCGCTTGATGACTGAGCTGGGCATTGAACCACCCCACCCCGGCGCCCCCCTATTGATAGCCGAGATTACTCCGATTACTGTTTCCTCAGCGACCCAAAACGCCATGTCATCAACGCGTGATTGCCGTGACGCGTCTCAATTTCTCAATTTCTCCGCGGGTATTTAAGGTCAGGGCACGCCGCGGCGCGGGCACGACCCAACCCCTTCACAACTGGCCAAAGGTTTTGCCTGCCATGATATCGATCGACTCCGACTCAGTCTTGTCTGACTGCACATCATCAACCACCGCGTCGTCCGACCGATCCTCACCTGCACTGCTGTGCAGTGACGAAGATGATCCGCTCATACCGTCTGCTGCGGACATCAAACGAACGTATCACGTTGGAAAGGCGACATGGGCCTTCTTTCTACAAGAAGCGCTCAATATGCCTCAGGGTCTTTGGCCGACGAAATTGTTGGACCCATACATCGCTCTGTCCCAAGTACCTGCACTTCCGTCCGAGCTGCCTCGCAGCAATGTCCTGCATGGAAGACCACGTTGGCATCTTCGACAGCGCGCTCGAGGTATAAAATATGCAGACTCGTCTGTATCCGGCAATGAGTGGGATCCTGCGCTTGTTTCCGGTCGTCGCGTTACCTTTTGCCTGGGCCACCAGGACTCGCTTCGCTGTGGTATCTCCCCACAGGCTGCAGCATGCTATTTGGGCACTTCATCAAAGACAATGAACAGCATCGCTGTCTTGACATTGTGCTGGTCATACGTACTCTCCACCCGATTTCTCGAGCTGCAAGATCGACTTGTGCAGTATTCCACCCATCGATTATGGCCACAGAGAGGAAGCAAACCGCACCAGCCAACCCTGTATCTCGACGGTGCATCGCCTGCGCTTGTAAGGTGGCTCTGTGCGATCTTATATCCCGGTCTGGGTTGGAGCGCCCCAGGAAAGTTGCTGCCACCCTGGGCAGCCTCCATCGATGCGAATGTGGGAATTGCAGTCTCGGCGCCAGCAACAGCTGAAGGAACCTTGGCCGCACCAAACTCCTCGGAGGCGATTGAGCTTTTGCTCGAGCTTTGCCGGCTGTGCGGTCTCGGAGCGGAGGCGGATCAAAATGATCAGGACTGGACAGCATTGCCGCCGTACAAAGCAGGATTCTTTGCAGCACTGATGCTCCCATTCTATAGGTTCACGGGTCTTCGCCCACAATTTCCGCCTCCTCATCTCAGCACGAAAGATGCCGCCGGGTTCGACGAAAACATTGACCAGGCCGCTACTCACCGGTTGGCGCAAGGTTTGCGGTACTTTATGACCCTCAGTCTGCATCCGCCATCACTGGGATCAATCCTGTGGAGCATTTTCTGGCAGCCAGACATCGAATGCAACCTTGTGAGCCCATGGCTCGCTGCCATTATTGATACTTTGGACCCGACCATCCATGCCAAGCGGGTGGAAATTCTGGTGAAAACTTTTGCCTCGCGCCGACCGAAAGTTGCATTCTGGTGGCTGGCTCTTTGCCTACTTGGCGACGTCTCTGTCTTGGACTGGATTCGACGATATACGCAAACTCAATCCGAACAATACGGGTACGGGTCTTTGTCGCCGCCCGACCCGATGGTATCAGCCTGGGTTGGCTCTAAGCAGTCTTTCCTGGACTTCGATAAGACGTCTTGTTACACTGGACCATCAGATCTAGTTACCCGCGCCGATCTCCTTCGATGCCGTTTTAATTGCAAGCTTCAGGATTCGGCTTCTACAACTCTCTCTTGGCGTCCATTCGGGCATATGAGCAAGCAGTGCATCGAACCAGATCTTTGGCCGAGCTTAGAAGCTGAGTGTGTCCGTGAATACTCTTCATTTACCTGGTATCTCGGGAAACAGCGGCGGGCAACGAGCCTCGGGTATCAGCGCGAATCCGGAAGAGCTATTGAAGAAGTTCGTGACATGGTGGAGGTTCGCCTGCCTGGAGACATATGCCAGGGGCCCTGTCGGCATGACATAAAGCTCGCCCCTTCGAAAGAAGCTACCCTGAATATGCTGTCATTGCTCGTGGAAGACGCGTCCGGCACGCGACACTGGGCCAACGCTGCAGTTCTGCTTCAAAATTTGCATCCATGGATGCGTGATTGGGAGGGTCTCGACACCATGGAAATACCTGATCGCAGAGCTCCCGACGATAGTCCCAAACGCCCGTCATGGTTCCTCCAAGAATGGATAGAAGGAATGCACGGAGGCAATGAATGACAAGATGCGGAAAAGGCACGACAGTCTTCGACAGTGCCTTTTTTGTTCACCTACCCCATCGACGGAGCTCCATGGCTGCAGGGACAACACCACCGGACATCGCATCGCAAATCTCCAGACTCGCGTGCTGCAACATGGACTTGTCCGATGCACATCATGCTGTGATGAGACGTTTCAGTAGTCACGTGATCGAGTGTGGAACTTTGAACTCTGATCTAGAACTTTGCCACACGCGCCGGTTCTCAGAGATGTGTGAGGACGCAGCAACGAGTCTTGTCCACCAGGATAGCAGCACCTCATCGGGCAAAAGTGGTTACGCGAGACGGTGGCAAGACTGCGCCAAACTTCTATGGGTAGGTAGTCTTTTGGTTCTGGAGACTGCGGATGGTGGTATGAGGTCTGCTTTCCCTACATAGGTATGAATCGTCAGTAAGGCCTCGGATAAATGCCATACATTGAAACTACAAGCTCACAACTTCACACCACGGTGCCTGCATGCAGGAGAATACGAACCATGAATGTTTGTCTAAGATGTGTTGAGGGGACAGAATAGACACAAAGGGTTTGGGGAGTCGGTCCTAGACTCTTCCGCGGCCGCATCTACTCCATTCTCATATGAGGCAAGATTCGGCTCCTCAACACACTGCAGCGGCTTCTACGATGGAAGAGTGGACGGCCAAGTTGCGGATTGACTCCCGCCGACTTAAAAGAGCCATTGTCGGCGCTCAGACGAGGCTGTCAGCGTTGCAGGCAAGCGTCAACGTGTGTGTGTGTGTGTGTGTGTGCGTGTTATTATTTAACGTCCGGGAACCTATTAAGCTAAAGCCCCTATCGGGGCAAAGGACGTGCTAGGCTGATGAGAGTCTATCTACAATTGGCATCAGCTCCAAACCGCTGTGCTTCGCCAAGTTCCAGCCCGTTGGTCCAGGTTAGCAGTCACTGAGTTGTGGCTGCCTCAGGCACTAATGGCTCTCATTTCGGCCGCCCCGCAGTTCGCACCGACGCGTCCTCATTTCAAAACAAACACCATCTAGCATCTCATCGGCTCAAGGCGCTCTTTCGTCGGAGCCTCGCACCCGTCCGCGGGATGTAGAGTTGCATGCGACGTTGCGTCGCTGTCGTCACCCATCTTCTTGATGGGTCTGGGAAGGCTTTTCCTCAACGGCTGCGCCTCGCAGCCAGAGTGGAGGGCCTCGGCCGGGTGAAGGGCGCTGGCACGCCCTTCGCTCGACCGTGACCAGCAATTGAAAACATACAAAAACAAAACAAAAAGGAAGAAAGGGAGTGTTGTTCGCCTAATGGCGCGGGCAGATCCTTTGGAAGAAGGAGCTTTCCGACGTCATCTCGACGAAGGCTTTGAAGCCCTTGCCTACTGCATGGTGTATTGCTTCGGCCGGTGAGGGTGCGAGCCTCATCCGGAGCCGTGGCGGTACCTTCCTGCAGTAGAATGGGTGCTCTGGTGCTTTGCGTCGTCCGCATGAGCAGTTAAGACGTGCGTCGTCATGATTGAAACGCTCGTGGTAGTCGGCGAAGTCTCCATGGCGAGATCTCGCCGCAAGGAGGTTGTGGAGCGTTGCCCTTGGGAGCGCAAGCTCTGGAGGGCAGCTTGTGGCTGCCTCGAGGTTCAGAGCCTTGTATGACTCCGGTGCTTCCGTCGACCACCAAGCTTTGAAGGCATCTCTCGATTGCTGCCTCGCAAGTCGACGTAGGTGGGCCAGCGATGGCATGGCTCCGGGTGGTTCAGGCTGCAAACAACCTGCTTTGGCGAGGCCGTCGGCCTCCTCATTGCCTGGTATGTCGGTATGTCCTGGTATCCAGCGGACCTGCACGTTTCCGTGCAAGGTTGCCAGTTCTTGGAACTTGGTGAACTTGTCCTGCGAAGAGTCGGCTGGGTCGCCTCGCAGACAGCTGGCAACAGCGAGATTGTCGGTGCAGACCACGACTTCGCTTGTTGTGTCGCCCAAGCGGAGAGCGGCCCGAAGGCCCTCTAGGGCACCAACTGCCTCAGCGTCGAAGACCTCCGATGGGCCTAGGCGGCCCGATCCTTGGACTAGCGATTGCTTGTCCCGGTGTACTGCGAAGCCGAATCCCGCGGCGCCGTTTGGAAGTTGCGACCCGTCGGAGTAGACGATGAGCGTGGCTGCGGCGGCGGTTTCAAGCCAACCAAGGAAATCACCAGCGGTTTCGGTTTTGTTTGCAGCCTGAAGAGGGCTGGTTTCTGTATCGGAGTACTGGCGCGGCAGGAGCGTCGGGCGATGGCACTTCGGGAGGAGTTGGTCGGTGCGTTGAAGCCTCGACTGAAAGGCTGGCTTGACACGTCGGGTCGAGCTGGGGTTCCGAGTGTGCCGCGCTCGAGGCGGTTTCCGCGATGCCCTTTTAACAAGGGGATGACGCCCGTCGAGAGACTTCAGGCGTGCCGAGAAACGGATCTGCTGAGCGGCGAGTGCGATAGACGCAGGCGGCGTGCCAGCTTCGCGGTGCATGGCTGGGATCGGGGTCGTCTTCCAGACAGGAAGGGCAGCTCGAAGGGCGTGTCTCAGGACTTTGTCCAGACGTAGCACGAGGTGCTTTACTTGCGTGGACACGATGCGATTCGGGTTTGCAACGCTAGGCGCCACCTCTCCGGGATACCACGCCTCTGCGCCGTAGAATAAGGTCGGCTCGACACATGCCTTGACTGCTCTGCGGACGGCGCGCGGAAGAGGGCCGTGCTTGGTGTTTGCGATGCCTTTGAGGAGGTTGGCTACTCGCCTGGCTTTGGCGGACCACTCGTCCACGTGGAATTTGAAGGAGAGCCTACGGTCGAGCCAGAGCCCGAGCCAGCGCATTGCGTTTCCAGGGACGATCTCGGTGCCGCCTTGGAATACGGAGGGCCGGGAGGGGCTCTTCTTCCGAGAGAAGTGCATCACCTCGGTTTTGTCCGGGTCGAAAGTGACGCCGTTGGCGGCACCCCAAACCAGAAGTGCTTCCATGTCTCGGGACGCGAGAGCAGTCGTTTCTTCGAGCGTTCGCCCGGTGCGCAGCATTGCCGTGTCATCTGCGTAGCCGAATCGACCATCCGAGTTCCCGAGGCGGTAGATAGGGGCGATGTACAGAGCGAAGAGGATTGGCGATACAGGTGAGCCTTGTGCGAGGCCGCATCGAAGAGGCGACGCTGGCGTTGTGACGTCCTGGAATCGGATTGCGGCCGAGCGGTCTTGCATGAAGGAGCCGGCCCATCTCACGAGATGCGGTGGCCACCCTTGTTGCCGGAGTCGGAGGATAAGTCGATTACGCATGACGGTGTCGAAAGCTCCTTGTACATCCATTGTGACTAGCGTAGCGACTTGGCCATTGGCTAGAGCTGTTTCGATATCGTGCACGAGGGCGGCGACTAGGTCGACCGCGGATCTCTTTTGAAGGGCGCCAATCTGCTGTGGGTGCAGGATACCGTATCGTATCGAGGCCCAAGCCAAGCGGCGAGCGATAAGCCTCTCCAGTCCTTTGCCAAGACATGAGAGCAGTGATATTGGCCTCCAGGCCCGTGTCTTGGAAAGATCACGCTTGCCTGGCTTTTCGATCATGACCACTTCGGCCTCCTTGAACCTCAGAGGGTGATAGCCAAGGGACAGGCACCCTTGATACAGGCGTTGGATGTGGCAGCGTAGAACGGGCCATGCCGTTCGGAGCAGACGTACCGTGATGTTGTCCGATCCTGGCGACGTGTTGCCTGTGCGCAGCAGAGCGTCCTGGACTTCCTCAATGGGGACATTGGGCGAGAAAGGGATGGGTAGGGTGTCTTCTGACGGCGTCCAGGGGTCGGAGATGTCGTCGTCTGCAGTTCTGCGCTCGAGAGTAGCGTGTCGTAGGGCCTCGGCCTTGCCGATTTGGGTTTCAATGATTGTTTCGCCGACCTGTAGAGGGGGAGGTCGGAACACCCCGGGTCGCTTCAGCCATCGCGTGATCTTAAAAACGTCTTTGTCGCTTCGCACGCCATCAATCAGTTCGCGCCAGTATGCCCGCTTCGCGCGTCGCACCACCCGTCGCAGGTCGCGGCGAGCGAGCTGTACGTCGCGGTTGAAGCCGAGTGGGAATGCTCGTCTGACGCAGCGGAGCTCTGCGACAGATGCTGCGCATTCCTCGTTCCACCACGGGGCCTTCCGTGGTCTACGTTGAGATCGCCGGCCAGCCGCGCGAGCTGCGGATTGTATGAGGTCTATAATGGCATCCGCGAGCCGGTCAAGATCTGCGACCGTCGTTGCTACCTGGGGAATAATTGTGGCCCCTGATACAACCAGCTCCGTGAACCGCTTCAGTTCCTCGTCGCTTGCGAGAAGAATCTTTCTAGGCGGGAGCGTTGCCGGCTTGAGAGCCTGGAGAGAGATGCTGAGGGTAAAGTGGTCCGAGCTCGTGGCAAGGTGATCCTCCACCGTCGCCTCGGCTAGGGGAATATTTGAGAAGGCCAGGTCAATGGTATTGCCGTGGGCGTTCGTGGGCGTGTTGATCGGATTGAGGAGATCTAAATCGTTTTCTGCGGCCCATTCTGCGATGATGCCGCCGTGGCCGCGGGAGGGGCCAATCTGCCACGTGTGATGTCTCGCGTTGAAGTCGCCTGCGATAATACATTGACTGGGAATCGGCCATGCGAACAGGACTTCGAGGGCAGTGTCCAGGTTCGGTTCCCGATATACGTTTACCAGCGTGACGCCATTGACCACGAGCCAGAGGATGTCTCGCGAGAGAGCCGGGCGTTGCTGGTCGGCTAAGAGCCTTGCACCCCGGCGAATATATGTCATGACGCGCGGTCGGGTGTCGATGTCTTCCCAGGTGCTGACCGGTGAGTAGGTATCGTACGCCGGGTGTGTCTTGGTAAGGCAGCGGGAGTCACGGACTTGCGTCCAGGGCTCCTGTAGTAGTATGACCTCGTATCGTTCTGCGTCAGCAAGGGCGAGTGCGCAATCGTGCGAGGGGCCATTCTTGCCGACATTGGCTTGGAACACCCGGAAAAGTCGCCGGTCACGGTGTTGTCGCCTAGGTCGTCTATTCATAGAGACCGGTCTGGGGAGGCAAGGCGGCGCTTCTTTGGCGAAGTGGTTGGCTGAGGGCTGGAAGTGCGAATCTCAGGAGCCGGAGTTCCGAGGAGGCACGTGGAGGAGAGCGACGGCGTGGGCGTGGAGACCGAGGGAGCTGGGCTCAGCGAGGATCTCGCAGGCGAGGGGCTTGCGGGTGGTGCTCGGCCATTCCCAACGTACTCGTGCGGTTCTTCAGACATCTCAATGCTCTGCCTCACGGGCGGAGAAACCCTTCTTTCGCTGCGTGCCGACGAGGCTCGAAGGAGTACCGAATCGGCGGGGTTCATGGGCGTAGCTGAAGTGGGTTTAATGGGGCTGGCCGCTGCTGCAGCGTTTTGCCTACCGCTGGAGGAGCTTCCAGAGCTTGGAGTCGGCGATGCTTGACTGTTCGGGGCAGCTGGAGCTGCCGAAGAGGCGGACGGTGTTTCGCTAGGGCGTGATGCCCTATTTTCCCTCTCGGGCTCCGGTGTGATTGCGTCGCTTGTCGTCGGTGTGCTCCGGCTGGACGCGGAGGTAGTGTCGCTCGCTGTCGCTGAGTCGGATTCGAGGCTCGTGGACTGATCCCGCGGTGGAGATGCTGGTTTCGCTGTAAACTGCTTGAACAGTCGTTTGCCCATGATTTGGACAAGTTTCTTCTCGGGCCTATTGAGGCTGCGGAATGCTCCGTTCACCTTCTTGGGGCGAGCCGGGCACTGGGGAAAGTCAACCGCGTGCGGCCCGTGGCAGTTGGCGCATTGTTGTGTGGCGGTACAGGTCTCCTGGGCGTGGCCAGTCTTGCCGCAGTTCTTGCAGCGTGCCTGGCGTCCGCAGCTATAGCGTGAATGGTAGTCCCAGCAATTGTCACATTGCTTCGGCGGCTTGGTCTTGACGATGAGTCTCGCATAGCTCGTCGTGTCGAAAAGGCGCCAGTAGTGCTTGACCTCCTTGGCAAAGGATATGAACAGGGTCCGGGTCGGGCGCTGCTCCGAGTCCTGTTTCCCAGTCATCACCCTCTCCGGGGTTTGGCCGGTTTGCGTGGCGACCTCGTCTCGGATCGCCTTCTCGTCGTCGATGGCTTCGCCAAAGATGTTATTGAAGCGGCGTGGGCAGCCTTGGACCACATACGTGTACCACTCCTGTCGCTTTTCAACGATCTGTGCGGAGATGTCAGGAGCCCACTCGGCCTGCCGTTCAGTCAGAAGATCCCTGGTTGCCAAGTCAGCGGCGCGGATGGCCCATCCGGTTTTGCAAGGGTGGGCTTCCGGGATACGGCTCCGGGCGATGCCGAGCTTGTCGGCGATGTGGGTCCGGACGGCGAAACTTCGAGACATGTCGGCGGTATGGCCGGGGCGGAGGCGGGCGAAGACCCGGAAGTCGTCTGTCAGTGGAGGCAGCGGTTTGCGTTGCCCCTGACGACGCGGGGGCAACTGTTGTTGCCATTGATTCTGCGGAGCTGCGCTGACAGGGTCTGCGGTGGTCCCCGCAGCAGCTGGGGCTGGGCGTCTGGCGCCG